AGGAAAGGCAACAAACATTGGGGAGAGGCTTGAATGAAACAAGGCAAAGCTGCCAGGGGCAGGGAAACAATGCTGTCAGGTAACAAGTCTGTACTGAGCCCAGTCAAGTTCTCAGCCCTGTGTATGACTTGCTGAAAACTGAAAAGCAGTAATGATTAGTGAAAAGCTATAATTTAGAGGCAGAAGCCTTGATTTCAAGTTGGATGACTTCAGGTTAGTCAATTCCTTCTGAGTCTCAGTGTCTTCCAATATATAATATGAATGCTGATTTCACAGGGTGTTTTGTTTTTCAAGATCTGATGATATTATCAATGGGAAAGTGACTTGGAAATTGGAAAATGCTATGCACATTTAGGAATATAACGAGGAGTCAAGAATACAGACTTCTAGGAGCTTTTTAAAAGATTCTTTTCATGACTGTGATTCAAATTTACTTATTTATTTTTAGTCCTCACCTGAGGATATATTTTTTAAAACATTGATTCTAGAGAGAGAGGAAGGGAGAGAGAAAAACAATGCGAGAGAGGAACATCAATTGACTGCCTCCTGTACATGTCCAATCGACGATGGAACCTACAACCTAGGTATGCCCTGACTGAGACTGAACCTGCAAACTTTTGGGAATGGGGCAGTGCTCCAATCTGAGCCACCCAGCCAGGGCTGCCTGACTGTGATTTATTGTAAAAGTTTGGGTTTATGGACCAGATGGAGGTTTGGAATTCATTAACCAGATGGATGTTTCTTATATGTTTTCCCCAAATAATTTTTCATTTTTTGTGACTTTTTTTTTTAAAAAAGCTTTTTCAATTACAGTTTACATTCAGTATTATTTTCTATTAGTTTCAGTTGTATAGCATAGTGGTTAGACAATGATAATACTTCCCAAAGTGTTCCTCTTGATATTTCCAATACCCACCAGACAGTTATTACAATATGATTTGACTATATTTCCTATGCTTTACTTTACATTCCTGTGACCGTTTTATAACTACCAATCTGTACTTTTAAATTTCTTCACCTTTTTTACCCAGTAACCCTCCCCACTGTCATCCGTTAGTCCGCTCTTTATGTCTAAGGGCCTTGTTTCACTTTTGTTTGTTTATTTTGTTCTTTAGATTCTACATAAAAGTGAAATCATATGGTATTTGTCTTTCTCTGATTGACTTATTTCACTTAGCATAATATCCTTTAGGTCTACCCATGCTGTTGTAAATGGTAAGATTTTGTTCTTTTTTATGGCTGATGTGACTCTTTTGCAGGTGACAGAAACATGACTGAGACTACCTTAAACAAGAGAGAGTTTACTTATTGACTGAAGTAACTAAAAAGCCTAGAAGTAGATACACTTTTAGACACAGCAAGATCCAGGGACTTGAATGTCATTTGGATCTAATTTCTTTCCTCTTGGCGTTGCTTTTCTTTGTTTTGATTTATTCTTAGGCAGTGGCAAAGATAGATATCAGCTTTGGGTATGCATTCTACCAGGTAAGCAACCATTATTGAAAGGTAATACCTTTTTCCTGATGGTGTTGGGGGTCCTGGGTATGATTTTGGTTTGGGTCTTGTGTCTACCCTAAGTTAAATCACTGTGGCCAGAAGAATGCTGGACTTTTTTTTGGCCAACAGAGTTCATTCTACTCACAGAGTCAGAGTTAGCTCCCCTGGAACCATGTGGACTGAGATCCCAGAAGATCAAGGTGCATTTACTCAAAGAAGAGTTTGGAAGGTTGGGAGATAGTTGAAATAGCAAAAGTTATAGATGTCTGCTACATAGTGAGGCATTTTTTCATTAAAAAAAGTGTATTTCTAATGTTTTAAACCCAACAAAGATAGAGCTGCTCTATTGCCAAGGATATTGCTTAAAGAAGTAGGTATTGCCAAGGAACCTGGGCAGGTGGTTGGGGGTGACAGGAAGGGTCTGCAGAGCATAATTTGAAAGCTGCTTAGCCATTTTAGCCAATAAATATTTGTGGGAGGTGTGATAGCCCCTGAATTCCTTTTTTCCTCTCTTCCTGGCCTTTTGTAGAAGGGATTATATTTTTCTCTCCAATCAGGGAGAGTGAGGTAAGTAGCAGAACCAGTTATAGCCTGAGGTTGAGGATGCCAAGGACCTTGCTTAGTCCTGACACCAAAGTGTGCTTTAAAAAAAAAAAAGCCATGAATCTTTCAGATTTAAATAGAGACTCTGAGAACAGGAAGAAGTCGCTTTCAATGTATTGGTTAATGTGAGTAATGAAATGTACTTGTATCCTGCTCATTTTGCAAGGGTTCAGTTTGCTAGAGTGTATAGAGCGTGGGTTGGATTCTGTATTGTAAGGTGAGTGAGGGTGAAAGCTGCTCTCACACACGAGGCAGCCGGCAGCCATTCAGTTGTTGTCTTGAGATACGATTCACTTAACATAAACTTTGCCATTTGAAAGTGTACAATTCAGTGGTCTTTAAACGGTTTTATGCAGCTATCACCACTATCAAATTCCTGGACATTTTAATCATCCCCAATGAAACCCATTAAGTAGTCACTCCCCATTCTCTAGCCCCTGGTAACCATTAATCTACTTTCTGTCTCCATGGATTTGCAAATTTGCAGCTGCTTTATCAGTGGTTATACTTAGGTAGTTAAAAAAATTATTTTTATTTGTTATTTAAAAAATAAAACTTTATTTTAATAAAATAAATCTTATACTGTATAGGTTATTTTTTCTTAAGTGGCCAGCCCTTAAAAGGCAGTTCCTTTTGTATTTCAGCATTTAACAGAATGTAGTAAATACTTTTAACTGGCACATGAAAGAAAATGTATGTCTTAGTGCGTAGAAAATCTGTCATGCTCCATAATTTATAATATTTATTTTAAAAATTTGAAGAAATATTTTGTATATATTGTTCAAATAGCATTTCCTGATAAGTGAGTGCAGTTTAAAGAGTATTAATTTTCATGTACTATATCCCATTTTTTACTGCAGCAAGAAGGAATTTCACCATAGCATTTCACCAATGATGTGTGCCTTTTGTTTTTCACTATTAAGCAGGAAACCTATAAAAAGATTTCTTAACTGGGTTAAGTGTCTCCAGACTTTAAACATCAAATAAAATTTATAGAGGTTTAATTTTAGATTTATTCTGTTGATGTTTTTCATCATGATAGTTTTATTTCATCATTAGTTAATACAAGGATCAGCAAACTATGCCTGCTTCTACAAATGAAGTTTTATCACAGCCTCATTTATTTGTTTACATATTATCTATGGCTACTTTTGTACTATAATGGCAGAATTATTTAGTTACAATAGAGAATGTATGGCCTGTGAGCCTAAGATATTTAGTATCTAGCCATTTACAGAAAATGTTTACTTAACCCTGATTTAATATGTCAAGGCACAATATAAAGTAAGGATGCAGTTCATTGTTAATAATAACTGTAAATCCATATTTTAAGTAGTTTTTTGATGATTTGGAAAAATTTTTCGACAGCTTATTTTTTGAACCAGTTAGATTATTTTTACTGATAGAGAGCTGGTACTAGGAATAGGAGAATCAGCTTTGTCACTCTCTTATTACTGTTTATTTTTGTGTGTAATTTTAATACTATCTCCAATCCATGAGAATTATTTTTTTTGTTTCTTGCTTACTTATTTGCAAGAATCTTTAAAATCATTTATCTGCATGGTGAGGAGTGGTTTACAAGGGAAAAAATAGAAATCATCATTCATTAAGTTCATTTAATCAGGCATGTACGTATTAACTGCAATATGTCGTAGTATCCTGAAAACAAATGAGTGACTTCAGACACTGATGTCCTTCCTCTAGCACTGTGGAGCTTCCACTCTATTTTCAGAACACCTTGTATGTGGTAAATGATATGTAAATATCTGGCATAATGACTCAGAGAGGGAACATTGTTAGTCTGTACAGTTAATACAGATAAAACATAGCTTTTATATTGGGTTGTCCAAAAAGTCTGTTATGTTTTTTCCTTACAATGTCTCTAATAGCGCTTAGTTGTCTTTAACTTCATTTGAAGCAATTTTGTTAGACTGTATTATGACAGCTGTCATATCAGCGTGTATTTAAAAAAACATCAAAATTGGTGAATTTTTGTGCAGCCATTTTAATATTGAAAGTGGAAGAAAGTGTGCAACATTTTTGACATATGCTTTATTATTTCAAGAAAGGTAAAAGTGCAATTAAAACTCAAAAAAATTTGTGTAGTGTATGGAGGAGAAGGTGCTGTGACTGATTGAAGGTGTCAAAAGTGGTTTGCAAAGTTTCTTGGTACTATTGACATTTGGATGAATAATTCTTTGCTGTGGGGCTGTCTTATGCACTGGAATATGTTTAGCAGCACCTCTGGCCTCTACCCACTGGAAGCCAGTAGTGGGAGATAGCTGACATACTCATCTAAATCAATAAAGTAAAAATGAAAAATTTTTCTAAAAATGAAAAATGTGTCTCATTTTATGGGAAAAACTAAAATGGCCTTTTGGTCAACCCAGTATTTTACAATTAAAAACTAATGTAAGAGTTTTAATTTTTCTTTCTCTACTTCCATTGGAAAGTCTCATGCATTCCACTTTGGAGATGACTTTTTTTTTTTTCATTTTAAACAAGAAGTTTATTTAAACAACAAGATGCTTGACTTGAAGGGAAAACTACCTAGGATTCATTTTTTTTAGAGTAATTTATCCCTACTTAAAGACAGATTGCCCTACATGTAACAGCTACGTACAAAAAAGTTATAAAATTGTCCTTGGTTTTACAATGATAAATGAAAAACATTAAAATTGTCCAATCAAGCAAGGTATGCAAGAATTTTTATGTTGTTCTTTTTTTGTTAAAGAGTGAGAGCAAAATAACTTACTGGAATATAAAGATAAGAGCTGAATGAGCATGCCACTAACAAAAGGGGGTATCTTCACAGAACCAGTATTTTTCCCCATCCCATCTCCATGTGATGTCAATCAAAACATACCATTGGCCATTTAGTTTTAAAAAAATGCAAATGCTTGTGCACATACATCAGTTACTTTATGTACAATAAAGGAATGGGGAAAGGGAAATGAAAGAATAGAGAAAACTATACTGTAGTAGTCAGGATGTGGTGGAACCAAATTGCAGTTTTCTAATTAAGAATGTCTTCTTGGTCTGGAGGAACAGAGTTCTGAAAGAAAGTAGCAGGTTCCCTTTTCAGTAGACACCTCCCGTCTGCTGCTGGAACACATCAATTGTATCTTCATCCTCCATTTCCAACTGTGCAGGTGTGTCTGTTTCACTGATTGGCTGCCTGTCAAATCGGAATCTGATCTGCTTCATTGACAAATCCTGTCTTTCACAATAGGCTTTCATTAGTTTACTAAGTGGTGTATGCCTCTTAATCTTAAACTGCACCATAGAACCATCCTGCCCTGCCACCTTCAAATTAATATGATCGTTGTTCTCAGTCTTGACTCCTTCCTTGGGTTTTTTGTCGGCCATGGTGAGCACCGGAGTCTCCCCAGCTGCCGCATCACAAAAGAGGTACCAGGTCTGCACCGAAGGAACATACAAGCAGCACCAGCGAGATGACTGTCTTAATATATATTATTTTGTGTAAATTTTTCTGAATGTAGGCATACTCCCTGAATATAAATAAGAGGTTATAACATAATAAGAATTGAGCTCTAAGTCCAGCAAAGACTACTTTGTATGACTAGTGCTGTCACAGCTGCAGTTAGAGGATCTGGAAACCAAGCAAAGCCTCACTTAGATGTTTCATCTGCTCTTGTCCTGTGTGGACAACCTTCTGTCATCCAATAAGGTTTTATATCTGCAGCTAATTAAATCAAGAATTTTAACCTTAGAATGGAGGACATAGGACTGTGTCTTCCTGACATTTTGTCACTCACCGGAAACACTGCAGTGAGCAAGACCACCACCTAACGGGCCTCATTAGTGGGGATTTAATTTGGGGAGTTGACAAAAGTTTAAGTATGGAATTGCACTACCTGGGTTCAAATTCTGGACTTTTTGTTTTATTAGCTGCATATTCATAGGCAAGTTTACTTTAATTTCTCTGTGTCTCAGTTTGCTCTTATGTTAAGTTGGGAGAATGGTACCCAATTTGTAGGGTCATTATGAAAGACTAGGTAATCCATAAAGGGTGCTTAGAATAGTATCTTGCATATATGAAGTGCTCAGTGAGTGTTAGTATTTCACTTTATGAAGGTTTGGATTTTGTTAGCACCCTGAGAATAATTATCTCTTTAAGCAGACTCTCATAACTGAGTTTACAAGGCTGATATATAAAACTAGAATGCCAATTTTTGAGTATACCTTGAGAAATAGAACTGTCACATATACTGAAATGCCTGTATTGGTATGACCAGTACATTTTCTACCTTTGGGTACCATGGAATACCAAATCCTAGTCATAAAGGTTATGGTGAACATAAAATTTGAATTAAGGGCATAAGTTAGATGAATCCTATGTTTTGTGTATAATGTCAAAGTGGTTAAAATGAATATTTATTACTCTTTCTTCAGTTTAAGGATTTCTTCACTTAAAATGCCAGACATTCACTTTCAAACTCTTTTGCAGCTTGCCATTAGTTCTTTCAGTCTCATCTACTCACCGTGGACTTTAAACCTGAAGAACTGGTGATGCAAAGAAGCAGAGACAGCAGTGGTGGTAGTGTATGTAGCAAGATCGAATTCTGGGGGCAGTCATGGTTATGGTATTATAGTGGCTATGTTATGGTGGCTAGAGATCGTAGAGGTTGGCAGTGGGAGCAGAGGTGTGCTGACCAGACTAGTTCTGCTACCTGATTTTAGGTGTTGTTCTTGGCATACATCTCTGGTTTTCCACTTCTCCAGGTGAGTCTGAGCTTCTCTTTTAGTCAGTGCACTTTCTGTTTAAACTAGCCAGAATCAGTTTTGGTTATTGAATTGGCAAGCTAAGTTATTTTTGCAGCTAAGAACCCTGGCTGATGCAGCGGCTATAAGAAGTAGCCTGACACATTTGTCTCACAGTATGGATGGAAAGGTCATGGGAAAACAAATGGAATGCATGGACATTGTTGGCTCCTTCTCACTTGGAGAGTATTAGGATCACTATATTTCCAGGGCCTAGAATTGTGCCCGGCAGTTGGTAGGTGCTCGGTAAACCTTTGTGGGATGAATGAATGATGGGTTCATTGGCAACAGTGTGTCTGTCAATATGCGTGTCTGTGACTATGCTTTTTCTCAACTTCCATGGCTTAACGAAGCTTCCTGATAAAAGACACATTTTTTTTCTTTAGATATGTTAATACGAATGTAATTTTGTATAACAGTTAAATTTTACTGGCTTGGGAACTATTCTGTCACTTGACTTATCTCTGTTCTGTGGAATTTTTAGTTTAGCTCTGGTATGTGTCATTGTAATTCTATGTGTTTGTATGCACATACATATAGAAGGGCACCTCACAGAGCCCCAAAATGCTGACAAGAACTTGAATTTCTTCCTGGTGTCACAGCTTTCCTGGCATTCTGGAAGCCATCACTTCTTGAGTCTTTCTCATGAGGCTGTTGGTGAAATAAAGGAAAGCTTATACACCTACAGACAGTTCCATACATATACACACAAATATATAGTATTGTGTTTAAATCTCAGATCTGTCACCTAATAACTTTATGGCTCTTGGTAAGTTTCCTACGGATGTCCTGCTTTGCTTTTCCTCTGATGGTGGCACTGAGATTGGGAAAGACAGGAAATACAGGCCCTCTGTATTCTCTTTTCTTTTTTATTCTAAAGCAGGTGGACCTCTGCTGGTCTATCCTTTAAGGTGCTATATGGGAACTGGCAACTAGCACACACATTCTGATGCCATGAGGTCATTTGCTTATATTTACTGAGCCCCTTCCTGGGTGCTATGAGATGATGCCTTCTGAGGCTGCTGAAGGTGCTGGGATTTTGAGAGGTTGAGATGGCTTGTTCCCGTTTCATCTGTTCTTTACCTATATTTCTGGTGGAGAAGCTACGGCTGGTGGCAGAGCAGTACACCAGAGACCCTTCTCTCCCCATTTCTCGAACATAGTGTTTTAGACTTTGGGTTCTCATAAATCAGAGCTGGTACCTTGAGATGAAAATCTGTGAGCAAACTCACAAAGATGTAGGGATCATCTGGCCTAGCCTTCTTGAGTTTCAGTTGTAGACCCAAGCCCAAGGAGCAGCGACTTGTCCAAGGTGACACAATTGGTCAGGGTAGAGTGCGTGGAGATATTTCCAAGGGCAAATTGAAGTTCCTACAAAGGCCAAGACCAATCTGAGGTCTGCTGTAACATAAAGCTAGCAGGGTTGGGGAGGCCGAGGGATTTATTCTGCAGTTTCTGTCCCTGTACCTTGTGAAGAGTCAACACCTTATCTTTGGCTGCTTTAGTTTTCTGCCACATTTCATGATTTGGAGTGGACCCCAGACTGCAATACATGGTCTGGAGCACACTGCAGCCCTAAATTGTCTGTCTTTAGCTTAGGTTATCAAGTTTACAGACAACAATCCTGTGCCTCTGTGGACACGTGACTGGGTTATTAATAGACCTGAAGTTCTGGGTGAGCCTCAACACTTCCCCCACCTCGCTACTACCAGCAGGCTGCCTGCTGGTAATTTCTTCAGTGCCCAGAGAGCTAGATGGAGAATGGAAACAGGGCAATCTGCCCATCCCCTTTTAGGAGGCAGTGTGGGCCCAAGTCTGTATGAGTAGCCTTTGCCTCTGGCCTCTTGTGTCTCTGTGCTGTATCAGGTCAAGTGAAAGTACTTAGCATTAGGAGGAAATAATACTCCTATGCCTTGGTTGGGATTAAAAAAAATCTGTGTTGGGAGCACTTATGTTTTTTAATGATCATGTATAGCTCAGGGGGTGAACCTGAAGGGAGGGGAAGAAGGCCTACCAGTCTGTGGGCAACAGAGGGAGCTCAGTGGATGGCTATAGCAGGATGGTATCTACCATAGGCCTCTGTGACCTTAGAGAACCCAGGTCAGATAGTGACTTTTCTGCAGTCTAATAAAACATATTCCTTAGCATGGCATTCAAGGCACTCATAGATGGGGTTTCTGTTTCATAACCCCTACTTCATCTCTCCTTCCCTCCATCATACAAACAGTTTTTTATTCTATTGTTCATCAAATCTGCTGTCATATTTCATGCACGGGCATTTGTAGGCTCTATTAAGATTCTAGTCCAAAAGTAACTATTGACAATTTAGGGCTCTACAGACCAGTTTTGAATTCCCAATCACCCCAGAGTTATTTTAGACTGGAGCTCTCCCATTCATTCATTCCTTCTTTCCTTCCTTCCTTCCTTCCTTCACTCACGTTTTCAGTCATTCTAACATATTGGACACTCCCTCTATGCCAGGTCCTGTACTAGGCTCTAGGAATCAGTGCAGTGAACAAAACAAGTATGTTTTCTGCTCTTTTAGAGCTTACAGTGTAGTAGGGAAGGCAAAAATGAACCAAATAATTCCAGTGAAGTCAGATAAATGTCATGAAGTAGAAATAAGGGATGTGATAAGAGGTACATATTTCAGGGGAATGTAATATTGTTTAGGGTGTCACATTACCTGCAGAAATGACATTTGAGTCCTGGGAATTGAGAAAAATTAGGTAAGTAAATGGGGTTAAGAAAGGTAGAGTACTATAGATGCAAAGACCTAGAGGCCAGGTGATGGGAATACATCCATGCCCATATTGGTTCATTTATTAAACAACCATTTATAACTGGTAGATAATATCATACACTGTGCTAGGATCTGAGGACATAAAACACAATCCCTACCTGCCCTGGAGAAACTCAGTTAGGAGCAGTGGCATCACTCCTTGGTAACCAGGGTGCTAAGGTCACCCTAGATCTTGGACTCAGTCTCCTGGGTCCCATGTGACAGGACTTAACACCTTTAGAGAAACTGCCTGTCCTTGGGTGTTTGGTCCACCTGCCAAGCAGAGAGGACGTGGACCTCAGCTGGAGACTTTTAGCATTTGCTTTATCCCTGGCTTCACACTCACCAAATCCTTGGTTGATGGGGTTCATCTGCAGACTTGGGGTTGATGAAGGTCCAGAAATTGGCTTTTACCCCAGTAGGAACATGGGAGAGACTTTCTGACTGAGATAAGTTGCCTTGATTTTCAGAGCTTTATTTTCCTGCTGTCTTGTATGTGTTATTCAAATTGATTTTGTGGTCTCAGACCCATCCCTTGTCTTGAATACATCTCCAGTGGCATTTTAGCTCTTTTTCAGAGTCCTGGTGCTGCTTATAGACAAAAGTCTTCGTGGCTGCCTGTCCTGGACCGTGCATTGTGTAACTCCAGGATGTGCTGTTCACACAGATTGTGTTGTGAGTGAGACTCCGCCTCCCTAATTGTGCAACAGTGCATCATTGTGGCTCTTGTTAAAGGGAAGGGAAGTAAAGTTATTTAAACTGACTGCATGCCTCAGGCTAGGTGGTTTATATTCTTTACTTC